GCAAGATATATATGAGGAAATATACCATCCTAACACAAATCCAAAGAAAGCAGGAATATGAAAGTAAAAGTCAGACCAAGAAAACTTTAAAGAATCCAATGTCATTAGTGACAAAAAGACTATATATATATATATATATATATATATATATATATATATATATGTCTCATTCTTCATAAAAAAGAAAAGTCATTAAGTCAATTTGTGATACCTTTAAATATTCCTGTCCTCTTGGTGTGGCAACAGACCCTATCCTGATGGTGACAGGAGAGTAGACATATTACACAGGTTGCTCCAATCCAAGTGCTTACCTGGAAATAAGACCAAACTCCTTTTCCTCCATTTATAGTCAGATGTAAGTCAGCAGCTTCCCCCTGCTAGACACAAGGAGAAACTGGCCTGGCAGGAAAAATGGAAACCCAAAAGAAGATCCTCCCAACCACTGAAAGCCTCTCAGTTCTTGGGTGCAGCTGTTTCTGCGCAGTTTCATCGCAGTCGTTTGCATGGTCTAGTTATATTATCCCATAAATTTCACTTTTTCTTTCTAATTTGAGTTTGTCTATGATGTGCAGGGTTTTAATCAGCTTACGATGGGGTCCCTAAGGAAGCCATCACTTCTACCGTTTTTGGAGATCACTCAGCACCTACCACAGGGTGCTGCAACTCAACCCAACTTGGTCGAAGGTTTTCTTAATTTCCATTAAAGTCCTAGAATATTATACAAGATGCTAGAAATATCAATGTAATATTACAGGTAAAAGTTGCTAGCAAATTCAGCATCTCAGGAGATACTTATACTGTGGTTAAATCTCCTGGCTTTGTGAACAAAAAACCTATTTAACCACTTTACAAACATATTCCTTCTCAACTGACCCCAGCCTTCCTGACATTTGTATCCTTATTGATTGCTCTGGTGAGTGCATAACAAATGGGTGTGTGTGTGTGTGTGTGTGTGTGTGTGTGTGGTATGTTGTATGTATGAGCATGTGTGTGTTGCTTTAACCAACTTCCAACTTCCAACTTCCTGGAAAGTTTCTCTATTGCACTTACAAAACCTGGGGTCTAACCCTAACAAAGTCCTCCACAGTCTCATATAGAGGCGCCTTTCCATGAATTCTGTGTGTGATAAATAGGGAAAGTATCTGAAGGTTTTCTTTTAATTTGTCCTGAGTTCCTTGAAGGCTCTGGCACACAGCATGTGATTAAAATAATCTGGCATGGCTGCTTCTTTGCCCATGAAGACCAAGAAATAAATAGTAGAATGATAAATTATCTTTCCCTTGTCAACCACAAATGTGTTTCAGCCCAAGGCAAGGCCTAGAAAGTGATTTAAAAATAAACAAGTAGAACCAAAGAGTAACTCTATTCTTTTATTCCAAGTTTATTAAAATACAAGAACAAATTGTAAAAGCACACATACCACTCAGCACCAATATAATAACACTCTTTTTACCAATAATCTCCAAAACATTTCATTTTTCTGCAACTATAAAGCAGAGATATACACACATACATTCTCACCACATTTACCCAGTACCCAGCAGTAAGTCCCGAGTAGTCTCCTTGCTCGGGAGACAGAGATGGGGAGAGGCAAACTAATGTGACTACATCCAACCACTAACTGAGTCGAGGACTCTTTCATTAGCAGTTATCATTCGCACACTGGTAAACTCTGCACATCTCAGTCTCCCTCTTCGGGCGCCGATTCCTTGGGCTAGTGAGTCCGTGATAATGTGATGCAAAACTAAGCAAAACTGGCCAACATTCCCTATCTGATACCTTTTAATTGCTTTGGTTATGAAGTACTGGATACTTATATCTTCACGTTCTGCCCTTCGCAGCACACATAAAAACCACATTGACCAGAGAGTGACATAGTCTGGAGAAGTCTTAAGAGAATTTTTTTTTTTTTAATTTCCCATCCCCTTTCTGTGGGCTTCTTTCATTTATGTGTTTACCTGTTTGCTTTTTTTTTTTTTTTTTTAAGGTAGAAAGAGGGAGGAAAGTTTGAGCCAAAATAATGACTTCATTAAACATCTGTTGGATCTCCAAATTTTCAGTAAATATTAAATAAACTCCCTGGAGCTCTGGTGTAGCTGCCCAAGACAGGCAGCCAGCCCTGACTTGCATGAGCAGTCTTGTTTGGATATCTGTGCATATTTACTCTCTGTTGGGTCACACTCACCTGAGAACAGAGATGGGTCTGTAAGCCTGAGACCTTGTTCCTCATGCTATCTGGAACCCAGGGCATGAGGAAGTGGCCCAGTTTCTGCTCATTCTCAAGTCACTCAGTGACACTCAGCAGTCTTCTTGCAACCATAAGCAGTTTCCATTCAAATCTTTCTAAATCAGTAGATCAAGCCCTCCTGGGCTAGTTATTCCCTCTTAGCAACTTCCTAGATCACCCAGCCTCAGTCCCTTCCATTCATAAAAGATCTCAAATAAGACCAAGAAGGCTGCATAGCTGAACAGCAATTGGTACTTATGTTTCCTTCTGGAGCTGTGTATGAAAATGGGTTTAATTTCTATTTTTAAGGCAAAAGAGGCAACACTAGAGCATAATTATACTTTAGTTGTAATTTTTGATAATATCATATTTTAAAGGCCCTTGAAATTAAGACTCATTGTCAATCTCCCCTGCCCAGAGACATTGGGCATGTTCTGAAAGCTCTAAATGCTAGTGAAGGTTTTCATTAGTCCTTCAATAGACAGAAGTCAGTATCTAGATGCTGGCCTTTGCACTAGCCAAAGGATATTAATTAAATTTACTTTCCAAACCATCAGTCAGAAGTCAGGTGGAAAAATTTCTAGTTCATCCTCTTCTGATTCATGTAATAGGAAGCCCTCTAAAATTACTACATTTCTCTTGCTATAGTTAAAGTTTACCAGTTGTGCCAAAAATGCACTTTGTATCCATATATGAATTTTTACAAAATCATAAATAATATCTTTACCAGTCCCTCTGGTACTCCATGCAGCAAGGAAGCCTCCACTCATGAACTCTCTATATTTCATAACTTTTATTCAGGAAGCAAAATTGTGAAATCTATTCTGACAAAGTGGCTTTTTCTTCCCTCCCTGATCAGAGACTCAACATCTCTTGGTTAACGAGGAAAGATTTTAGCTAAACCAAAACACCACTCAGAAATTGATATTACCAAAAATCAGTAAATCATTTTAGAAACGATTCAAAATGTGAATAAAGAAAATCAGAAAATAGCTGCCACTTCAGCTATGCAAAGTAAGACAGGTGACTAGGTTGTCTCTCTGCAGCTGTTACATTTATTAGCTTCATGATACACTTCTGCATTACTGTTCGTGCATTTCACTCATGCCCATTCAAGGAAGTCATGATAAATCCCCTTAATACTTTCTGTGAGTGACAAAATAAAATAATTTTCATCATCTCATGGCATCTTTCAAATACTAAATGTTTGAATAAATCCAGATACTATGATAATACCTAAAATTTCTTGGAAACTAATTCAATACTAGATAAGCAAATTCAGCTTAGAAGGCTAAACAGATAGTTTCATATAAACACAGCCTACAGCAGGAAATGTTTAGGTGCTAAGAAAATGAACTCAGAGCTTTATATTTGCTTTTTCCTTCTCAGAATTAAAATTATAATTCTTCAAGGAAAAATACCTTACAAAAGACATGATAGTTGGGGGGTGTTAAAAATATAATTTCATTAAGCATATCAGCTAAGCATTGATTTTTTTCTATCTCAACAAATTTTTGTCAATTTTTTAAAAGGCTTATCATAGGAAATGATAAAAATTTATGTTGAGACAAATAGGTTACATAATTATAGCTTTATCATGATCCTGATAAGACCAATCCAATCTATATATTGTAGAATTCCTGAGCTTTTATGATCTAGTTTCTCCACTTTCCCTTCCACAATTCTTCCAGGATTTCTCCATGTTCTACTGAACATGTCTTTCCCCTCAACAGTCAGTCTACATCTTTGAGTATTTGCTTCCTCCACCTCATGCCTCCACTGGGCTACCCTCAAGGAGAACTGCCTGTGTGCACACATATACAACCTACTGCTTCTTCAAAAACATAGCACAACTGGGTGATTTTTCCACCACACTTTGCCCAGACAAATAGCATTCTGTTAGGCAAATCTCATCCCCCCCCCCACCAGCTGCTCTGACGTCCTGTTCCGTTATCACATGTGCAGAATGCAAGGGAGCTTCAAGGACGGTGATGTGGGCATTCAATAACCAATTTTTCATTTCACTTCCATAGAGTACCAAACAAATCTCAACACCATTGTGAAGATAAAAATCAAGGGAAGCCACTGATAAGCCTTGACTATAGAGTTTAACAGTAGAAGAATTTGCACTAATCCTTTCTTGGGGCCCAGGAGATAGCTCAGCAGTACAGCGCCTACCTGGCAAATGCAAGGTCCTGAGTTCAATTCCTGGTACCACACACACACACACACACACACACACACAGAATCTATTCCCAATACAATTTTATAGTAATTCATTAGATAACATCACACTATTGAAACTCCTTTTGTTGCTTTGTGGGTTTTTTTTTTTCCTAAACAGAACTTAAAACATTGGAAAACTTGGGCATTGCTATAAAAAATTAGTCACAGTGAAGCTTTAATGTCTACACAATATACTAGCTAGCGCTATCACTGATTTGTTGCTCCACAAAAGTATACTTCTAATTCTTGTAAACCAGTTCTAACATTTTTTTCTCATTTGAGCCAACTAATTTATTTTCACCTTGAGATTATCTTTTTATGATTAGTTTTATGATTTACTCATTAATAGTGTGACTATAAGAACTTTTGATTTTATTATTTTAATGTACAACCATATGTGATTTGGTAGTATACTCAGCTTTTTAAAACTTGTAATACATGACTGATTGGTCTATCCTTTTAAGGATTATGATATTCAGGTATTATTTATTGGTAAAACTATTATTTTTATTTTAAATATATAATAATCAAAATATTGGGGCTTTGATCTATTAACTCACAGCTGACAAGACAAAAAAAGATGCAATTGTGAATTTTGATGCCAATAGAAATTCCATTTTACCAAATTTCCTTTAACATGGTCTTGCATCAAAGCCTACAAAATTACCTGAAAAGCCCAAAATACTTCTTCTATTTTGCAAGTGAAGAAAGTGTGTGTGCTTGTACCTATCATTCATTATACTCCACTTACATTAGGTTATAGGAAGGAAAACAAGGAGACAGCTGAGTGGCCAGCATGCCTGTCTCCCACAACTTCAGCTCAGCATTCAGTTGTCCAGAGACAACAACTGCCGCAGAAAGTGAGACTTTCAGTGAGTGAACCCATAAAATGACTGCAGGAACTGGGGAGGAACAGACCAGTGCCACCAGAACCACTGGTTTTTCCTTTCATCATTATAATAGGGGATAATTCACCCACTAAAAATGTATGACCACATACATGTTTCATTAAGAATTATTTCTAAACTATCTCACTAGTTCAAATATGTAAATGTGAGGGTTTTTTCCTCCTGTAAGTCTCTCTTTCTTCCTCAATCTAGGAGTATGTCATACTTTGTTGCCATATGTCTACCTTGTATATGTTCCTATGTATCTGTAGTAAGCAAATTAATCTCTTTCTCTAGTTTCAAGGTGAAACACTATGAAGCTTCCTAATCTTTCTGCTTCCTCTTTTGTAGCTTGCCAATTTGATTTTCTTCTAATACTTTCCACATCTTCTTAGTAAGTAACTCAGATTTCAAATAATTATTCTAACCTTCAGGTGGAGGGATCATTCTTGGTATCCACAAATACATCTGTGAATTCTGGGCTATGTAGATTGGCGCAGAGAACTGCATGGCTAGAACTACTCGAACGCAATGAACTTCAAAGTCCACATGGCTTGGGCTCAAGGGTGCATTATAAGTAAGGATTTCAGAATTTCCCAGTTGAGTTCTACCACACTGATTAAAGCCTAGGCAATGTGCTTTATCTTAACGTAGACAGCAGCTTCTCTAACACAGTTATTACTATAGTAACTATTTTCTTCTGGTCCCAAAGAAAGCATCACTCATTTCTCAAGTTAGAGCACATACATACTGAATCAGAGTTCCTTCCTCTCTAACTTGGATCTTTTCACTCAAAAGAGATGTAATGGAGCTATTGTTTAGCCCAGTGCCATTTGAGTACTGGAGGAAGTACTGAGATGTTAGAGGTTTATCTTCTTCTGAGACGTAAATTCCTGTCTTTCAGTGAGGCGTGGGACTCAATGGAAATAGTGGATTCAATTCTTAAAGTCCTTTCCTTTACACATTGTTTTTTTTAAAAATAATAGCTCTATTACAATCACACCTTTAAGCAATTAATCTATATTTCATCTCTTGCTGAAATTCTTCTCCAGCCAACGCCGGACTTCTTGAAGGTTGTAGCAGAAGGGGCCCTTTCCTCCCAGATAAGCAATTTTCTGTCTCTGCACAATGCACACACGTTCAAAGGCTACCCCATAGGCTACGTTGGCATTGTTGTCCATGCGGTCAGCCACAACTTGGCACTGGGGCGGCAAGGAGAAACGCTCCAGAAGCTGATGGGCTGCTGCACATCGCTCTTCCTGGTTCCGGTGCTTCTTCACCTCAAAAGACAAAGAGGATCCCCCAGGTACCGCCCAACCATCTGAAGGATGAGCCTCGTCAATGTAGACCAACAGGAAGTCAGCCACTGAGGAGAACTCTTCCACCAATTTGCAGAAGGCAGGCAGCTGGCTGGTAAAAGGAGGTCAAGTGGCAGAGCCAAAGTTGACCACCAGTGGGCGCTCAGCACTGGCAAAGTCAAGAAGGTGGCATTGGACTCCATCGACAGTCTTTTCCCGGACACTGTTTCCACTGTTAGGACCTCCTTCAGGACTGGACACACGCACCACACTGGAATTGGGAGCATCTTCGCCCAATTTCACCTGATAATGGAAAAAGATGACAGAAAAAGAGAGAATACTACATTAAACATATTGCTGCTTCAATTCACTCTAAATAGATAGCATTGGTTGACAAAAGATGGTATTTCCTTTAGAAGATATGGCAATCTGAATACTAAGGTGTCTGGTCAGAGATAAAAGTATTTTTATTCTGTATAGTGGCTGAAGGTATTTATTTTCATCATTGAAGCAATGGCAGCAACTCTTCATAATCAAGTTGGGACAGATACTGTTTAATACCTAGTTTGAGGTCAATAGTTAGCAAGCATTATATAATGAATGATTGCCTTTCTTTTAAAATTTAGAAGCAAAAAAAAAAAAAGTTTAGAAGCAAATGATTGACTTTCAGAAAAATTATCCGAGGCTTGGGACATCCTGCCTCCTTTTCAACTCTAAATAGGCATGCAAGACCTGGTTCTCCATGCATGCTGCTAGGTTATTTAATCGATAAGGGTAAATAGGCTCCTTCTGTGGCCAAAGCTAGAAACCTGAAATGCACTATTTCTAAGGGTTAGCCCCACTCAACCTTTCCACTGCTTTCTCATCTGTAGTATTGGAATAATGACACCTGTCTTCTTAGGCTGGGTGGTTATTGAAAAGTAATAAAGAAAAGAGCTCTTTAAGAGACTGTGTGACTGTATCCTGTGCTGTTCTTGGACACGCCCACCACAGCACATGAAACAGAATATACCTTCCCTTGGGAAACTGTGTGCTAAATATAAACAAATGCTCCTCAGAAGATACATATGATCCTCTCAGTTTGATACTTTTCCTGGAGGTTTCCTGCACTGTGGTTTACATTATGGTTCTGATGCTCAGAGCCTTACAATTTCCATTGACAAATACAGACAAACAAAAATATAATTATTCTAGAATCCTAATTTTAGTCATTTTCTTATTTCCCATGTGTTTCTGTTTGTTTTTCCCCTTTATCTAAGACACTGGCAGTTTTCTGCGAACCACATACTTCTCTATCATAAAATTTATTAGCGAGCTCCTTTAAATGATAAAACATTAGGGTACAAGAAGTATAGAGAGCAGTTTTCTGTGTGTTCCCTTGGAACATGGTTTAAACAGTCGAACACAGAATAATGAAAGAAATTTTGTGGCCTTTACATCTATAAACTGATAATAAAACACAAACAACATAAAAGAACCAATTACTTCAGTTCAAATTAACACAATTGCATCTTCCCCTAGAATGGTTTAATCAAAGCCAATAACATTAGGGACAGCTCACCACAGTACAATTGATTTTTACACACTATCCTTCATATTACAAAACACTCTCAACTGGAAAGACTTATTTTCCTCATATAAATACCTCCACATATAACACCACTACCAATTGAAGCAAATTGTTGAAGATGCTATAATCCAAACAGATATAAAGCACTCAAGGGCTTTTATTGAGAAGTTTCTATCTAAATATTATTGTATAACTAATTTTAACGATAGACAAGGAACTAAAATTCTTTTCATTCCTTCTACAAAATACTAGTAAGGTAGCTTTGAAACAAGTACTGTTAAATTTCTTAAAAAGAACTTAATAATAATCTTTCTTCAAAAAAAAATTGTTGATGTTATTTGATTTCAGTCACCACCAGGGGAAATTTCTAATTTTCTTGACTAATATATAAGATGAAGAAAGCTACTATGCCACTTTTCACCACATTATTTTATTGTACAATACTGGCTTTTAAGGCCCTCAAATATACTTTCACTTAAACAGAGGTATTTAAAGGGCATAAACTATCTCCTCTTTGGTTTTATTTGATACTTCTTTGTGGCTCCTGGTGAACAGAATTCCCATCACCTCCTAGATCTTTCCTACTTAAGATACTAATAATGATTCCAGAAGGCCTCCTTTGAACCGCAGTGATAAGGCCTAAATAGATTTGGATGAGTGTGCTACAAAGATCTCTCATTAAGTAAGCAACCTGTACAGGGGAGAAAAATAATCTCTACATTACAGACAGGTAGGTCTGTGGCAGTTGAAAACATCCTTCTGCACTTTGAAGTCATTGTTCGAACCTACAAACAATTGTGTGGTCTTGATCAATAGGCCTCTGACTGCCAGACCCAAGGAATCCTGTTGATCCTTGTGCTGTTCTAGAGTGTTCAACTGATTAATCTAATCTGTGCTTCAGGACAGGTGATCTCTTCTTACCTCCAGTTAATTTTCCTGGAAATTCAAAGCTTACTTTCTTAGAGACAGTAAACAAGTTAGCCACTGAAGCCTCTATGAAATTTAAACTGCCTTGCCTCGGAAAAGTTTGAGACCAATACAATACAGTTAAAAATTAGGGCAGCTGCCAAATGTACAACACCCTTTGGAGTACAGTGTTAACATTTTGTTTGTCTGAAAAAAATGTTTTTTCAAACTTTTATGAATGAATCATTGATTAAACATAGTAGTTATAAACTTAGATCTGTGAAGAATTTTATACTTCTAAATAATATTGATATTCAGTGAATATAAATTATATGTAGGTGACAGACAAGATTGTTGATGCAGACAAATTTGGAAATGCAGCCTACTGCTACGCTTAGAATCCAGTGTTGTTGATATTATCTTGATTGTCCTAACTGGTTAGTAAATAAAAGAGTCATGGCCAATCCTCTTTATTTTGTTGAGCAGCAAAAGACCTTAATATAAACTAGAATGTCATAAAGGGATATCTTTATTTTTAAAGCAACCAAGTAGGAGAGAAAGCATAGGTAGAGTTGATATCCTTAATAAAACTAAGCAAAAAACAAATACCTGTATTCCTGAAGTCCAAATACGAGTAGAGCAGTAGTCTGCTTTGATAAGCATACTATCACAAATAAATGTGTTTATTTTTACAAAACCTAATGAAGACCAACTATCTACAGCTATAAAGCCCTTGAGTGCTTTCTATCTATTGCAAAAATAGAGGAGAAAGAACATATAAGTTTAAAATAAACAATAGCAGCAAAAAAAAACTTTTATAAGAATATTACCATTTGATCACCATGAAAATTAAATTTCTATTAGACTAGAATTTCTAAATTCCTGTTTGAACAGAGTTTCAGATGGAGAATTTCTTGGTTTGCTTGGTTAACAATCCTGCTGGGATGGACTGGGAGAACCAACATTGTCTGCAATGATGGAAGATTCTTTGCTCTCCCCAGGAGCAAAGCATTCCCTGACACAGAGCCAAAATGACGAGGAAAATAAAGTTGGTCCCATAATAACATTTAGGCTGCAGGAAAGAAGCTCAACAAAAACAAGTTATCCCCTGGTACTCTCAAACTTTGTTTTAATTTCCCACAGTGGCACACAAAGTCTCCTGGCCACAAGTTACCTATCATCTTAATTTCTTCTTCTTAGAGGGTTTGTGTTTGGTTTTTTGTCCTTAATGAGACATATTTGCCAAAGAGGCATTCAAAAGGCATTTTTCACTCTTGCGGAAGAGTAATTAGGTCGGTACCTCTTTCCCTGCCAGCATTAGCCGCTCTAAAGAGAACCCTGCCTAGTATTTAATGCCCAAACACAAGAAGCGTCATTTCCACTAATTGGTCTTGAAGTTCCGACGTTCCCAAAGGGTGCCTTTATTTAGCAAGGATCAGAAAGGACATACGTAAAATGTGATAATCGTCATCACTAACTTTCACCTCTCGCAACTGCACTCCCACCATTGTCCTTTCCTATGGTTTTGCAATGAACCTGAGCACAACAGCATCAACAAAGGAGGTCAATAAAGGCCTTGCATTTTTTATAAGAGGGCATCTCTGAGCCAAGTTCAAAAGCTGCAGTAGACGTGTTTATAAATATGAAAATGAGCATAAATGCAGTGCATGTATAGTGTGATTCCTTAATGACAGGATGCGTTTCCCTGACAGTGCTTGGTGCGTAGGGAAAAGGGTAATGCTGCTTTAGCGTGTGGACTGTGAAATGCAGGGCGAGGAGGGAAAAAAAGAACCATTCACCAAGGGAAGCTGGAAACAGAGCATATACTACTAACCTTTTTTCTCCACAGCCTGATCAAGGCTTTTGGATAAAATGTAATGTAATCTCAGGATTAAAAAGCAAGACAAATGATAAAAATGGGGGATGGGTGTGTGACAGAAGACTTACCCATAATTCTTGCTATCCAAAGCCCTGGAAGTGGCTTTATTCACTATCAGGAAGTGTCAGATTCTTTGACATAATGACCGGGCTACATCAATGTCCTTAGAAACATGGCCAAACAATCATTAAGCAGAGACTTAACCATCTGTATTCAGACCGGCCAAATAAATCAGAGTTGAAGAACAAGCCATCTCCCCCTCTTGCTGAGCTCTATTTGCTTTTTGGCTATTCTGTTTTTGATTTGTACCTTGAAAATGTAGCTCAAAGCCCTATCATTTCCCAATGTTTTATCCAAGTGACAGACAAGCTCTGGTTGTGGCCTTCTTTGTTTACTTTTGGGACAGTTTCTTTCTTAAGAGAGCCATTTTTCCATTGTAGGAACTAGCGCTAAAAGGCTTGAGGTGAATGAAGAGAGCGAGAATGTTAAAGAGACCCTTTCAAAAACCAAAATTATATGTTTAAATGAATATATTTTTTGGTTCCAGTGCAGTATTAACTATGCAGAAACTAACATGCTTGTCAGCATCTATACTGTGTGTTTAGTTTTCCACCTCATTTAGGTAACTGCCAGGTTCCCAGACAGGGCAGTTTGCTTATTGGTTATATATTTGAGTCTCCATATTAGCACCAGGACTCAGGGTCTGGATGCAATGACACTGACTGAGAGATTTAAATAAGACATATCTGGCATTGGCCTCAGAATATCTCACAATTTTCTAGATTATTTAAAATGTGTACACAGAGCCCACCTGCTCTTCACTACAGTGTTAAATCTCTTCCAACCTTTGAATGCATTTGATCATTTTGTTTTGCTCTTTCAGCTCAGCATTGCATCTTGCCTAATAGAACACAAGGACCATCCTTTTATTCCAGTGTATCCCAATATCCTTCCAGGTATCTGACACTCAACAACAAGAAGCAAGAGCAGCAAATGACAGGTCTAATTCTATTACACCTGGCCATACCCTGCATCCTGGAAAACACTGTTTCTGAGAAGGCAAACTCCAAGCCCTGCAAGTCAAGATTATGAAACCCTGTGATGCCATCTCAGGCAGAACCTCCTCCAGTGCCTCTAGAAATGCCCACACCCAAAGACAGTGGCACAGATGACAGCAGTGTTCAGCGAAGTGATTCAACCTGTTTGAGAGGTTTCCTGTGACCCTCAGATGCCACCACAGCGACCACCCTCCCGACCATACTTAGAGACAGAAAAGAAACAGAATTCAGTCTCCTCAGCCTTTCCATGCGTTACCCAATCAGCCCAGTGTGGTCTCTGGATATATAGTTTCTGAGGTTGGGGAAGCCCATGGCAGCTAGTCTAGAAATCATTAAAAGCAAACGTAATAATGTTAGTCATGAACTTGGTCACCAATAAAGTTGGTAGGCAGAGACAAAGAACTAGAGAAGAATAACAAACCATACACTGTAAGAAGAAAAAAAAAAAAAAAAAAACGAACAAATCACTCATCCTTCCCAATTTCCTGGAATGTGAACAACAGGCTGTTACAACACAATGAAGCACTACACATGAATGAAAAAGTAAATAATAAAAGTTGTAGGCACATGTGTTTGCTTTTCCATTTCTATCTCAGTAAGTTGCTTAATGGGAAAACACCTCACTTAATGTTGTGAGTGACATCAGAGCTTCCATAATTGATATGAGACATGGCATCCACATCAGACATACATGCATATAAGTAAAATTCTCCCAAGAAGTGATTTTTTTTCCATCAGCAAAAGACAATTATCTTTCAAAAAACTACAAGTTGAATACACTGAGATCAAGCCTCTTGCCATTGCATTGCCATGTAATCTGCTAAAATATACAAAATATAGATGTAAATGAGGAAACTTTTTAATTAATAATATTTATATACTTGTATACTCCTCTTGCCTCTGAGTTTCTTATCCTTATAACAAAACATAAAAGTTCCACATCCAATATACACATTTGTGAACAAGGAGTGATCATTTCAGGGTCTCCTTGGTTATTAGCTCTGCTTTGCCTTTACGTATTACATAAATGAGATTTTATTATTAGGACTTTGCGCACCCATTCATATTCTCAAGGAGGAGCCCCATTAACTATGAGGTCTTACAATTCACATGTCTTCAGGATAATAAATGCAGACCCTCTTTTAATGAGGAAGACATGTATTACAGTCAAATTTAGCTAGTTTACCATAGACATTTTCTTCTTGAACATTTGATTTTTCAGTAGAACAATCCCTCCATGGATTCTTCTCTTATTTTACTGGTGCTTAGCTTTATTTTTCTAGTGTTTACTTGTAGAGGTCTCAAACCCTTCCCTTCTGTTACTCTGAGTTTCTAGCTCTGCTTCTGAGCATCAGCTTGTTGGACAAGTGTCACTTCATGAAACACCTGGCTTCAATATTCTTCTGAAACCTGCTTCCTTGGGGTCATTTGCAAGGTCACCCACTATTGTGAGAGAAAACCAAGATTGTCTCCATTGGTAGCAACATTTTACCAAGTGAGTTCATTCTGCCTAACCCCAGGGGGGCTTTAGGAATCCTGTGCCATGGGGGGGGGGAGACACAAAGTGACAGAGGACTGGTGACAAATTGTTCTTTGCCTCTTTGCTGAAGATCTCAGCTGAAATTGCTATACTAGAACCCCTAAGTAGCCAAAGGGCTGAGAACCAGACTTTTTAACTTAGAAACAAAAATCATCTACTGATTTTTGGAGAGCAACTGAGGGGTCAACTTTTCCCAATAAGGCAGGCAGTGTTCTGATGTCCAAGGCAGAAGACTGCAATGATACATAGGCCCATTAGTTCCTTCTAAGACTTGTTTTTACTTGAAGGAACAAAACAACTTGGGCTCCTTTTAGGAAGTCTGGATTCCTGCTGGCCAGTTCACAGAGCTCCCTTTTGCAAATTGATACCTAGTAACTAATGACTCACAAACCCTGATCAGTGTAGAGGAGGCTGCACCTTTGCCTCAGTTTCATTAACTCTTCTGTCTACCAGAAATGGAGGAAGTAGATACAGTGCCTCAGCACACTTGCTGTGCCCCGTCCTTTGTCACCTGTTTTAAGTAAAACTCTTTTTAGCAAGAAAAACAAAAATGCCACCTCAATTATCCTTCCCAATGTACCTTACCTAGCCTCTCACCAAACAAAACATCAAAATCACAGTTTCCAATGGCAGAATAGATATCTCCTCCTCGTCCTCCTCCTCGTCCTCGTCCTTGTCCTCCTCCTCCTCCTCCTCCTCCTCCTCTTCCTCCTCCTCCTTTTTCTGTCTTTTCCCAACATCATTCTACAGGTACAAACTCTCTAAAGTCATGGCAAAGTATGGTAATAACTTTTATTTTTAAAAGCCTCCTTGTTAGGTCACACAGCATCATTACGGCAGCATATCTGTCACTACTAAACCTAACCTGTACAACAGGTGTACAAGTGACCACAGAGGCTCACTTGGACAGAAGCACCAGGCAGGCCCCCAAGACGGCTCCACTGCTCCTGCTCAAAGCCCCCAGCGCCCCCAGGCCCCAGCCTGCGAGCCTCGCTCCGCTGACCTAGGTGAAGCCCTCGTGGGCACAGCTCACCTGTTTGTAGGCATCGAGCAGGAAGCTCTTCCAGACGCAGCGCAGTCCCTCTGAGGTCAGCATGCGCCGCCACTCTCCGCGAGTGGACTTGGATCGGCTCAGCAGCAGAACCACGTGCTTGAGCAGAATGACCGAGTCATAGAGCGCCAGGAAGAGGCAGTTGGAGAAAAAAACTGGCAGAATCTGCAGTGTGATCAGCAAGTCTATGCTGAGGATACCCATCTTCTCTGCCTCCTTAGTCAGTTCCCTTGTGCGCTCTGGTTCCCCTTCACCCTCTTATTTAAAAGAGGGGTGGTGATAGAGGGGGTGGGGGAGGTAAGGAGGAAGGTTGGGGGTGGGGGGAGAAGGAGAAAACTAAATTAAAAGGAAGCCCAAGTTGTCTCCTCTTTCAAAGAAGCAGAAATGGCACGACCAAGCTCAGTCTCTCCAGCCCAGCAGTTGGAGCGTGCCCATCAATTCATTCAATTCCGAGCTGCTGCCTTTTTTTTTTTTTTTTTTTTTTCAGGATTTAAGATGTTAAAAAAAAAAAAAAAAAGAAAGAAAGAAAGAAAGAAACTGGCGCACCCGTCCCTAATCCAGTTACCCCTGTCAGAGTCCGTTAAAGACACGTTGTTCTACTTTCATTTCCAAGCACCTATGAGACTGTGGAAGAGACTGCAAAATTTTCCTTAGCTTTTCATTGTCTCTATGTTCTTTGAACGTAGCCTGTTTCTTTCTTGAACTGCTAGAGTTTTAAAAATGTGTTTTAGTGATAGTTTTTTTTTTTTTTCTTTCTTTACTCCGTTTTATACACTCTTTCTGTTCCTCTTCTCCCAGCCTGTCTCTCTCTCTCCCTTCTCCAGGAGCGACTGGGTCCTGCGCTTACTCCCTCTGGCTTCTCCTTCCTGCTATCTGTCTGTGTGCAAAGTGCCTCCCTCTGGAGCCCAGTGAGTCTCCCGAAGCCTTTTATACATTCCCTGGCTAATTGCTGCAATAGAGAAATGAAAGCCTAATCTTGCTAAAGATCTTGACGTCATTGAGAAAAAGGGCTTTACTTTGGCTAGGACTGCAGTGAATAGAAAAGCAAAACTCGACAACTTTTTTTTTTTTAAAGGGGTGGGGGAGAGACAGTGGAATTTAGCTTTGTGATTGAGAAAGAGACAGAGAGAGAGAGAGAGAGAGAGAGAGAGAGAGAGAGAGAGAGAGAGACCTTTGACAGCTTTTAGGAAATACTTCTAAACTTTAGGGA